TGGCGCCGTATTCAAACATTTCAGAAGCGGTGGTCTTATCGACGCTGCGATTTGCAGCGGATTGAGGGGGGTCATTTTACGTGAACCAGTAATTTGCACTGCGAAATTTATTAATCGCTGATCATATATGACTATGCACTATTTTTTTGTCTTCCTGCAAGAACAGAGTCGAAGCAGTTTCCCTCAGCTCTTTCACACGTTCCTCAACGGTGTGACGTATAAGAAAGACGAATTTCATTTGTCGTGAATTCCTGTCTACAAACTTGCAAATCGTTTTGTCATCCGGCGAGTTTCCCGAGACTACAATAAATCGACGCGACGCTCTCAATTACTCAGCTTCAATGTCGTTTCTTCGTCCCGGCATTAGGACAGATTCTCAGACATCCAGCAGGTATTGAACCATGATTACTGAATCGTTCAGGAGTGCGTAACGCATCTGAACTGTTTTTGTTATATCTGTTACCAGTTTCATCCTCATTAATTCTGGTCTGTTGTAGTGGATAGTCGATATAGTTTTAAGTGTTCTTATAAGATTATGTGGTCTTGCGGCAGTAATTATGTGTTGTCTTCGTTATTAACTTTTCATTTATTTTGTTACCGTATTTGTCGATTTATTTTTTTGTTAAAAAATGCATATTGTTATGATTCTGTTCCAGCAACGAAACTTTGTTGCTGTTGTCCATATGGTTAACGATGCGAATAAGTAAATAAAGCCATTGAAATCCATATCGACCATGAAGCGATCCACGCATATTTCTGCTTTCAAAAATACGGTGATTAATTAGTGAGACTTCATTAGGGCTGTAGAACTGTCTCGACAGCATTGATCCGTATTTCATTGCTTTGAATGTCGAATCATAGAATTATCATTGTATCGCAATGGTGATCGATATATGGCCTGCCGATCAATGAAAGTTTTTTTTTATCTTCTAATTGTTGAAGATCGCAATAGTGAAGACTTTTTTTCTCTTTAATCGTCCACGGCATCGCATCGGAAAATTTAGAAAGTTAATTAGTTAAATACTTTCTTATTCACTTGCTTACTAACTTATATACATAGTTACTGGCATTACTGCATACCTGCAGACTTATTTATATACTTAAATTTTTATATTCTTTAAAGGTTGTAAATGACCTGTGGATGGCAAATGTGGTTTGCCTGAAACTTCAGCAGTTGTCGTAAATATAATAAATATTACCATCTGTCTGTTTGCCTGTTTCTAGAACCATTAAAATGGCAATGTATTGAAGAAGGAGACAGGGAATCGAAATAAGTTTCAGAAAAATTTACTAACTACTGACTAACTGACTGACTTGACAAACTTTCTATCTTACTAACTTGTTTATTTCTGCACATACTTATCTGTCTGCTTAATTATGCATTTATTCGCTTGCTTGCTAACTTGTATAACTTGTCTACTTATTTATTTACTTACTTGTTAGCTAACTAACTTACTAGTTAATTAACGTACGTACTTATTTGCTTACTTCTA